GTCGACAAAGCTTTTACTGGAAGGATGCAAAGAAGTGTGACACAGACTGAATGACAGTGGCGTTAAAGGCTAACAGCATTATTCTCTGCTATTTTTTTTTATATGTTTAGTTGGTTAGCATTAGTGAAACAAATATTTAGATACCGGATTATGGATTAGCGGACAAAGTTCATTTTCAATCATCCAGGTACCAAATCCAATAATTCTCAGTCGAGTCATCTGGACAGTTTCTTTTTTATAGAAACATTTCACCCTCTATCTTGAGGGCTTCATCAGTCAGAGGAGTTCCAGTAAACTGTTTTCCCACCAAACAGTAAACTCCTTAAGTGGACCAACCAGTTTGCTGGAGCTAAGATGGTTTCTGGGGACCGTCCTGTCCCTCGTCGACTCCTCCCAGGCAGGCAGCCACAGCCAAAGTGGTTCAAGGCAACAAAGTTCATGCTCAATCATCCAGGTACCAAATCCAATAATTCACAGTCGGGTCATTTGGACAATGGATTAGCAAAGCTAACTTTTTGTTTAGCTGCTCCCACCACTAAATAAACATATGAAACATATGGTTTTTATATTGCTCAAAATCATAGTTTCCTCAAATAATTGGCATGACTAGTAGGGTGGCCAAAAATAAATCTATGGTGACCAAAGCCACCATTGGCCACTCCCTGGTTGCGTCATTGCTCCGGGTAGTGGATAAATTTGCTACTTCCGCTTGCCAAGATCAAACACTGTGCACCGTCTCAATCAAAAAAAAGAAAACTATATATTTTCTTATTCACAGTGGAACTAATATTCAGTATCTTGCACTAAAAACATTAAGTTTTATTTGTATTCGCTGTTCCGTTCCAGTCCAGAAACTTAAAAACTCCAAACATTCACAATTCAAATCCTTTAGCGACAGGGGACATCAGTATACTACTTACTTTTTTATTATTATTTAAGTTCCCTTGGTCTGCTTCTCCTTTTCCCATCATGCAACTCATCTCACCTGCTTCCTGGTTTTATCAGCACACCTGATTTATTTAATTTGATCAGCTGTATCAGCTTAAAACCCGAGAGTTCAAAAAAACAGAAAATTACTTTCCACAAACACGTTTACCATTAAGTCATTTTTGACAGACAGTCTTACAGCAGGCAGTAGCAAAGGTTGTTTTATTTTTTTCTTAGTCTCTGTAGAGTTAATTAGCTCTAGATCAATTCTTGTTCTTGCAAATTTACTTTCTAATCAAAATTATCTACTGTGAAGCTGAGAATTGCAACTAATTTAACTTATTTTTTGCTGAGTCGGACTAGATTTTTGAATCACACCATGGCCTCCCTGCATCAACACAAACTGTTTCTTTTTTACTCTCCAAACTCCTTCGTCTATTTCCAAAACTTCGGATTCACCACAGAAAAGCCTGCGCTCACACTCGTGCACGACACACACACACAAACCTCAGTCAGCAGTTCTCTGAGAGGCACGGCAGTAGATCATAATTAGAGCCAATCAAAAAGAAGCGTGCAGCCTGTTTCTTCCAGCCAGAGAGCCGGTTAGTCCATCTGGATACACTCGGGCCTTCTGTGCTTCACTAACTCTCTCCCAACAAACACAAAAATACTTCTTATATATTTTAAATCTTGTTTTAGCAGATTTTAAACATATATTTCTTGTTTCAAGATTGTTATTTTTGTAATGACACACCATGAGAGATGAAGGCAGACAGATAATTTTCGAACTCTTGTGTGTGCATCCATTTGTCTTTGGGAAACAATTGCTTAAACAGATTTTAATGAAAGTTTTAGAAAATAGTCCATCAATAAACATTATACATAGAAAAATAATATATATATATATATATATATATATATATATATATATATATATAT